CGAATTTGGCTTTGAAGTCGCCGGCGGCCGTGGGAGTAAGATGTGGGAAGAAGGTGAAGTGGTGGGGTTATTTGGCATTTTTAAAACGTTTGGGCCTATAGTTGCAACTTATTTTTCTCTTTTATTTAAAAGGAAGGGTATTTTAGTCATTTTACCTTGAAAATTAGTGAAAAGGACGTTCAGCACAAGGAAACATTGAAATAAGGGCGAAAATGCAAAAACATGGAACGTAGGGACGTTTTCCACAATAGGGGGTCAAACGTAGTGACGTTTTGCGCTATTAAGCCATTGACAATTCATATCTATGACTAGATGCTATTCAATACATTCACTCTCTGTAGATTTTCTCCTTTTTCGCATTCTCAAAAATTTTATTCAAGTGCATAAAATTGGTTAGACAAAGTTGGGGAAAGAAAATCGAAGGCATCAACAAATTCATCATACGTCTTAACTTAGTCTAACCCAATTAATATATCAAAAATGCTTCAAAAAATCATTGCGTTCACGAATTCTACTCTGTATGACTAACCTTTACTTAACAAATTTATGATGACATATTAGGTCAATTCCCTTTCTGATCACTCGACTTTAATTGAAATCTCAATTGAGTCATCCAACTTTAATTTGTCTCATATGTAAGTCCTATTAGCTCCTGTTTGAACCACATTTTCGTTCTTTTAATCATTTTTAACAACACATTCTTCAACAAAATAATATTTTTTATCATATCAATAATTTTTCCTTCTTTTTCAATCGCATATTCATTATCACATCACAAAAAAAAAAAAAAAAAAAAAAAAAAAAAAAANAAAAAAAAAAAAAAAATGCACTCTCTTCTAAAAAAAAATGTGCATCAAACAGACTCTTAATAAGCTTAATATTGCAATCTTACATCATTTTTAGAATTAAAAGCAATTTGACCTGTTGGAAAACAAAATAAAGTTTAAAAATTGATAGCATATTTAGCTCGTGTTTGAGTTTTAGTAAAATTATAATTTATTTCTCTCTTTTGTTATCAAATCATACATTTTTCAATAAAATAATATTACACGTAAATTCAAAATATTAAAACAGACATTTTTCGAAAAAGTTACTATTTCATAAATACATTTTTGACAAAATCTAATTTTAATGAAGGTCAAACAAGGGCTCAAAGTTGTATACATCTCCAATTTCAAGATTTTGCAAAAATGATTGATTTGCTTATTAACCTAAAAACAGGGTTTTATGGTTAACGATGGATTGAGACAATTAAGTTTAGTAACATGATTGAATTAAAAAATATTGAAGTCTGATTACAACAACAAAAGTTGGGTGATCTAATTTAAATTTCACGAATAGTTCAATGACCAGAAGATCATATTAACATTTTCAATTCCTTTTGTCAACTTTGCAGAATTGAATAAGATTATAATTACAAAGTACGATGCATTTGATTGTCAATATTTATTATAAATAATGTGCTTTTTCACCTAATTTTTTATTTTTATACTGTTTGATTGATAATTTTTTTTAAAAATATATTTTTCTACTTTTGATCATATGACCATATTTTCTTTGAAAACAATGAAATATTTTCTTTAGGGAGATGTAGTTTTTATTTTTCAAATAATTCACTTTCTATATCTCTCTCTCTCACTCATGTATCTACCAATAAAAAATGGACAAGTATAATATTTTTTAGGTTGAAAAATAAATAAATCAAACACATTTAATTGATAATTTACATACAAATAAGTTTTAGGCAATTGAATTGTCTAAAATTTATTTTCTTTCCATACAAATTTCACGATCGCAATCAAGCGCACTCTTATATTATCACTAGTCAAAGCCCGTGCAATGCACGAGTTATGGTATGGGAACAATACATTTCTAAGGTATTTACTTCACATTTTCAAAAATACAAAAACAGGTTTCAAATTTCACAAATCAAGTTTTTTAATTTTTTATTTATGAATTAATGAATTATTAAATCAATTTATTATTAAATATTTAATTCTATTATAATATTATTACCCCACCCCACCTCCACCACCCCTAATGCTCAGGGGACTATTCCGGCTATCGTTCCGGTCACAACTCATCTCCGGATACCGTTCCGGTCACAACTCATCTCCGGCGACCGTTCCAATGACTGTTCAGATTTCGATGACCGTTCCACCGCCACTTTGTTTCGACGATTGCTCCGATTTCGACTACGATCCCGACTCCGGGGAAAATTATTAGGTCACAATTCAAAATTTTCATATGTCACAATTTGTTTATTGGTCACAATTTGTCCACCGGTCACAGATCACAAAATTAATAAGTCAAAATACTTATTTAGGTCACTATTTATCAATTTATTGGTTACAATTAATAATTTTTAGGCCACAAATTAATAATTTTTAGGTCACATATTACCAAATTTTTAGGTCAGTTAAATACTTGGTCACAGATAACCAAATACTTGGTCACATACCACCAACAATAACAACTACCGTCGTCGCCCCCGTCCCAAAACCGCCACCTCATCACGGCAAACCAGTACCAACACCACCGTCGCAACAACCAACACGCCACACAAAACACCACTACCACCACACAAAAACACTACCACCAACGTCGCATCCAACCACACAAAAACATTGTCGCTACCGCCGAATCTGTGCACAAAACCCACAAAAACTACAACGGATCTGTGCACAAAAACCATCAAAAACCACAAAAATTACAACGGATCTGTGTACAAAAATCATCAAAAACCACAATCACTACTACCGTTCGCGAACGGCGACGTCGCGAGCCGCTGCAAGATCGCTGTTGCAAACTGCAGCAACGGCGTCGCGAACGGCAGGGTCGACGTTGCCACGAACTGTTACGCAAAGAGAGGCGATGGAAAGATCTGGGACGGCAACATCGATAGACTGTGGCTCTGCAGCAGCCGTGGAAACGAGAGAAAGGGAGAGTTGTAGAGAGAAGGAGGAGAGGAAGAAGAGTCGACGACCGTGACTGTGGCGGCGGCGTAGAGCAGAGAGACGGGAGGAGGATAAGAGTGGAGATGTAA